AAGGAGGGCCTATTGCATCCATGCAGTCAACAAGATGGAGGTGGGGGACCCTTCCATGGGCTCCTTCTCTTTGACGAGGGATGCGTTGATGAATCAGCGGTTTCCCATATGTCATAGTCTTCCCATGTTCCGGGATGAGGGGCTGCTCCCTCCAATGAAGAACCATTGATGGAAGGCTTCTGCAGGTTTGGAGGAGCAGTCCGGCTTTCACATGAAGGTTCCGCTTCAATAGCTAGTACAGAGCGTCCAAGTTTAGTCCTGCACATCCTCTGGTACAAGGCGAAGTCTTGAAGAGTCATGGAGTCCCAGTCTATTTCCCCGGAGGGAAGCCTGGGTGGACTGGGAGGAGAAGGTACAGGAAGGCGGGGCACCGGATAAAGCCTCGAGAACTCGCCAGGACTCAACCCGGCCATGTCGTTGGACTGGGCTGGGGAGATGGGGAGGTCACTATATGAAGAAGAAGACGTCCCAGAGAGGGTTAAGTCGATGATGACTTTGCCCTCAGACTTGCTTGCCATGGTGAAGAAGTCAGAAAGTGATGGACGGGCCACTAATTGCCCTTTCCCATTTTATAGTCAGTGGGGAAGGGATAGTTGGGAATTGATGAATGCAATTAAAAGGCGTGAAAGACTGAACGATTGGTGAAAGGAACGGTCGAAGCTTTCCCAAAGTTTGACTAAGAGTTTCTCGCCACTAAAGTGCATGGGCTAGTTAATTGGGCCCATTTGCGCTTTGAAAAAGACGTTATCCTGGGAAGGTAAGGAGTTAAATAGACTTAGACTTCTACTTCATGCAGATGACGGCACGTGCAACGAAATAATATTAAATGACAGGAGATAAAGGCTCTTTCCATTAAATAGCTCAAACAGAAGATTACATTCTTTTGGGTTACAGTGATGGGCCTTATCCCTGATCTAATTATGAAACAAAAAAGAGACAGGAGATAAAGATTTTCATTGAATAACTCAAACAGAAAATCACGTTCTTTTGGGTTACAGTAATGAACTTTGTCCCTGATCTACTTCTATCCTACTGCAGAAGGAAAAATTGAAAGCAAGGCGGATCGACACTTCTGGAATCTAAAGGAGTGAATTCGCTGACCCTTGTTTCCCTGCCTGAACCAGAAAGAGAACCTCAAGGCAGGAAGGCATGGAGAGTGTCCGCCGAAGACACTTCATGAAATCCACAAGAACTAGGATGGTACCAGCGGGTTGGGACCTAAAGCCATCCCCGTGGATACCATCCGGTCATTCTTGTGAAGGTGCCCACCGTTTTCTCTTGATGACATTCAAAAGATACGGAGAGGGACCAACGGGTTGGGATTGAAAGACATTCCCCGTTGTCACCTTCCGGTCGCCTCTCTGAAGTCAGATCAGGAGGACGGGTGGGCATGAGGGAAGGATCCAAGGCCTATCTCCATTTATACGGAAGGAGGGGGTGGGTCCCTGAAGGCCCCATCCTTTTCCCTGCGTATAAAGGGAAGCCTGTTTCCCCCCATGTCATAGTCCCCCCATTCCTCAGGTGGCTGTCCATACAACTGCTGAGGGGAAGGGGAACTCTGAGAAGAAGGCCTCGCACCAGAGACCAGCCGGGAAGCTCCTGAGTGGGGATTGCGTCTCTTCTGTGGACGAGAAGTGCCAGGACAGCCAGAAGAAACTTCCGCCCTGGCACCGTTAGGAAGCACGTCGGGACCCGGAGGGACACTCCCCGAGACCTGTGGAGGGAGATGAGGGTTATTCTCTTCTCTGGGCAAGGGAGAGGTTACCGATTGTTCAGAGGCAAGAGAAGGCCCGGAAGAAAGCTCAGGTGTTGGGGACCCAAGTGAAGGGAATGCCAACGAAGAAGAATCAGAAGAAGAATCAGAAATGGTGAGATCAATGAAGACAACTCTGTTGGCATTATTGGCCATGTTGAGAACTTGATTGTGATGATGAAGGGATTCAGCCTAGTCCCTTAAATAGGCGAGTAATCCCAAAGGAGAAGTGCAAAGGACGCGGAGCCAGAGCGCTTATCCGATTGGGAGGCAGTTGCGGATTCCCGAGGAAGGTTAGGGTTGCCTCATTTTGTTATTGGGCTAGGGTGAACTAGGCCCAGCATAATTAGGGTGGGCCAGTCACTTAGCGCATGGATAACAAGAAAAGCAGTACGTTGTGGATGCAGTTAAGCCCAAAGCCTAGGCGGATACAAAAAAAAATCTGCTAAGTCCTAGGGCGGAACAAGAATCCCAAAAGGAGAACAGTTAGCTTAATAAAAGGAGTCTGTGAAGACGGAAATACATCAAGCGTTATCAAGTTACAGCCATATAAATGTCACAAAGCAAAATGCAACAGTCAACAAAGAAAGATGAAGTCAAGGTCCTGGGTCTGCACAAGAAGCTGGGGGAGAAAGAGGGAGAGGTAACCCATAGTAGAAGATGAAGTCATCCAGAGTGCGGTTCTCAGGGAGACCACTCTGGACTGCCCCGTAGATGCATTGCTGCATGTCAAATTGTCCCTCTTCGTAGAGGGCTTTGGCACGGGCAATCAGGGTGGCCACCTCCTCTTGATGAGTCGCGATCGTCTTCTCTTGTTCATCCACCTTTGCCCGGAGCTCACTTGCAGCTTGTCTCTCCCCTTTCAACTGCTCGAGGACGAGCCGCCTTGCCTCCATCTGCTTCAGGGCAAATTCATTGTGACGGGAGCTCTCATGTTTGGCATCCTGGAGGGATTCCTACAGCGCAGAGATCCTGGACTCCCTTTCAGCCAACTCAGCTTTCAAACTTCCTACCTGGTCTTCTGAAGCCGAGACCTTGGATTCCAGGAGGGAGATTTGTGCCCGGAACCTACCAAACTGCACTTCCAGATCTTGGGTCTCCTTGTGGTAATTAGCAATCTGATCTTGCATGGACTGGACCTTGGATCTCTCAGCTGCAAGCTCCGTGGAGTCATCTAGCTTGAGCCGAGAATTCTCTTCTAGCAGGATCTGGACTTGTTGCTCCAGGGAGTCAACCTTCTGTTGCAGGGCCCTGGCAGCTAGTTCCCTTTCTCTCAAAAGCATTACAGCCCGGAAGTTCCCTGATGCTCCACCCAGGTACTCCTCAGTCAAAGTAAGGAGCGATTGCTGGGCCTAAAAGGAGGAAAAGGAAATCAAGGAGAAGAACTAACCCGGAAAAGGGTAAAGAGATTGTTGAAGAGAAAGGGTACCTGTTCCATGAGATGCAGGGCATTGAGGGCAAGCAGATCAGGGCGAGCTTGGGGAGTTATAGGTTCCTGCACTAATCCCTGCATCCTTTCTAGATTCCCCTGGATAGTCCAATGGGAAGCTTGCAAGGATCTCAAACCGCGGGAGAATCCTTCCCAACCCTCTGCGAAAACGGAATAAGTCCGTGGCGTGAACTTGCGCCGGATGGGGAGATTGACAGCCGGGGGAGCAGTAGCGGGATGTCGTCCTTCCGGATCTCGCTGCTCCTCCTGAGTCTGTTGCGTCTCAGTCTCTTTCCTCACTTCTGGAGAAGCTTCAGCATCTTTCTGCTCTCCAGCCTCATTCTCCGCCGGGTGGGAGACTTCTGTTTCTAACTGCACTTCAACTTCCCTCTCTGCTGTAGGGGAGGGCTCCGGTTCCTTCTGCCTCATTCCTTCTTCCTCCATGGCTGGGGGACTGGTTGTGGCACGTGGCGAGGAACCGGACACTTCAGTCTGGGGCTGCGTTGTGGGTTTCCTGAGTGCAGACTGGTCCTTAGGCTCTTCTTCCTCACAATCGAGTCTATCTGGGTGGGATGACTCCAAGACCCCGGACGTAGCAGCAGGAGTGGTATTCTGAGTACCAGAAGAGTTGGACATGGGGCTGGGTGAAACAGAGGTACCGCCACCCTTGTTCTTTTTGGGGAGGAAATCATCGTCGGAGAGACCCTCCCGTGGCCGTTTCTGGGACAGAGTGGGCCTCCTAAGCCCAGGAATGGCAGAGATAGGAACAGCATTCAGAGCAGCATCCGGATTGCGCACCACTAAGGTATTGGAACCACCTTGAGGCCGATCTCCAGAAGAACTTGCAGGCGGGTGGGACTCTGCAGCAGAAGGAGTCTTCGATCTCTCGGGGGAAGGCACCTCCTCAAAGGGAATCGGGTCAGGACCCCGGGGATAATAGAAACCTGCCTTTTTGTACAGTCTAGCCTCTTGGAGAGAGTGGTGGGAAATTAGACCCTCCTTCTCCCTCAAAGCGTTATACGCACCCTCCGCCAAGTTTGCCGGGGCGAATTTTGTCCGGGAGATGGAACGGCGGAGGACAACACCCGGCAGATCGATGGGGCTGTGAGCCGGGAATTCAATGACGAAGTATTTAAGCGCCCATTTGTCGATCTTGAGCTCGACCTTCTCGAAAATGGGAAAATGATTGTGGGGGTATAAACTGTAAAAGGGGAAACCACCGATACTGAAGAGGAGAAGAAATTCGTCCAATTGCGGGGTTTTGTCCAAGGCACAGCACCGTAAGATGAAGGACGCGACATATTTGTGTGCGTTGGCAGTCAATTGACCCGGAGCGAATCTAAAATGGAGGCAGAGGTCGCGGAGCAGGCCGTGGAGGGGCAACCTAAATCCATTCTCCACAGAGTGGTACTGCATGACCATATACTTCTGGGGATTTGGGTTATAGGTTAAACTAATCCCCCCAACGGCATCGGGATGGTGGACCCGGAAGCCCTTGCCCAAAAGCACGGCCATCTCCCGAAGTTCGTTCTCCTTGATAACGGAGGGTCCATGGGTCCAGGTTTCAGGATTCGTAGGGGCCATTCCGGAGAAGGGGATGAGAATTTTGGGAAATTGCAGTCGGAATTCGGGTCGGGTTAAGATTCAGTGGCGAGAGGAAGAAGATGAGTCCAGAAAGGGTATTTATCCGTTGAAAGGTGGACCCGAGGTACTCGAGTGCGACGTTTCTAATCCGACACAAAGATCGAAGGCGGCTCATCATTAGTTTTCTAGCGACACGTCGCCAGAAAACTAGGGGGCTTGTGATGGATATCGGGTCTGGTAGACCCGACTTCAGGCCCAAATGAAGGCCCACAGTGGCCCGAAAAGGAATAAGATCAGATGGGATGACAAGCCAAGCCCATTATCTCGTCTTTGGCAAGTGGAAAGAGACGGCCCAAACATGAGGCAGATCGGCACGACCCAGTCCAAAGGAGGAATGGGACGCGTGGCCTACATCGTCGAGTTATGGGCAAAGTGGGAAGAGAACGAGACCGAAAAGAAGGGGAAACACAACCCCACGATCTCCATAATCCATTTCCACTTTGTGTAATTTTAATTAGAATATTAGAAAGTACTATAAAAGGGGGGAACCCGCCATTGTAAAAAAAGGTCACAAGAAGACCATTCAATACTTAATCAAAGAATATTATCGAGTAATTATATCTTCCTAATCCATATTCCGTTCTTGGTCCGCCATCTGATCGGGTTAATCCCATCAATAGTAAATTTTAATTGGTGATAAAAGTAAAAACACATAGCGACATTAAAAGAATGGTAGAAGTAATGAGATTGCGGGAGGCACTGAAGTGGCTCAAGTGACATTTCAATCAGTAAAAGATTACAATGGAGATGGACAATGAGACGATTTTTCTCACTCTTCAAAACAAGGAGATAGTCCTTACTCCATGGATGTTGTGTCTGATTGTAGAAATTTGATGGTGAATTTTAACACTGTCTTGGTCTGTGGTGAGAAGATTGGCGAATCAAGTGGCTCGTTGAACTCGAGCATCTGACTCTTTGTGTGGTTTTTAGTAGTGGTTTCGGTCCGCCAACTTTTATTTATGAAAATGTAAACATTGACTCTTTACATCTTTATCAATATAAAGGTAGTGTGAAAAACATGATCAGTACATTTTTCCCACTCAAATGTAATGGGCTAAATTGGGCTGCCACTGGGTTTTATGGGCTGCGTTAAGGAAATGATGCTGCTTTATGCGGCAACGTGATAATAAATACCGTCCATTGGTTAGTGTGTATGATAATGGGAAAAAAAAAACATTTTATTGAGCCAAGTTAAATTAATTATGCTACATTAGAGATTGTGTAATCTCTTGGTATTTTAAAAGAACATCCTTAGTATATAAACTAGGGCAAGGTTCCCATGACATTGCTCAACAATGTCATGGGATGACCCGGGGGCGCTCCGATACTCCATTCGTAAAATTGACAATTCCTACTCCCCTAACCCTACTGGTAAACCCTCCACCCCGCCCCGAACGCAACCCCCCACCCCCTTCAATTGCATCCCACAAAGATAAAATTAACTTGTGGGGTGCAATTGAAGGGGGTGGGGGTTACGTTCGGGTCGAAGCGGGGTGAGGGGTTTACCGGGGGAGTTAGGAGAGTAGAAATCGTTAATTTTATGAATGGAACACCAGAACGCCCAGGATCACCGGTAATTGGAAATGTCATGGAAACCGGTAATTGGAATGCTAGTTGAGGATAGAAGTGTGGGGACACACACCACTCCACACAAAGACAAGTTCATGGAGATAACTTTGGAGGATCACAAGTAGGTTACTAGTTCTACATTTTTACATTAAAGCACATTTAACAATAACAACAACAACAATAACAACCCAATTGAATCCCACTACAGTAAGATTTGGGGCGGGAGAATGTACGCAGACCTTGCCCCTACTAGGGGGTAGGGATGCTGTCTCCAAGACACCCCAGCTCACCTCTACAAAAAATATGATAAGGTACAATAGAACACAAATAAAACACCAAATACAATAGACTGAAAGTCCAAAGGATTCCAACCAAACTAAACACACTACAAAAAACCTTTGAGGCACCAAGCCTTTTGGCTACTCTAATTCTAATTCTCCATAAGTTCCTATCTGGTGAGAAACCCTAAATCCTACCTAATCATCTCCTTCCCATTCTTTCTTTGTCTACCCGTTCCACTACTTCCCCAACGACCGTAATCCTCTAGCATCTCCGTTCAGCATTCCGCCGTCTCACATTACAATTAAGCACATTTAACAGTTTGCTTATTTCCTCTGTTTTGGTTAATTTTAAGTTCCCATTTTTCCCCACTTGCAACATGATATTCATTAGACCAAGTTTGAATCTTTTTTAGGGTAACAATTACGTGACAATCTCACACAATCCAACCAATGCAGAATCTCAAAGTTTGGATCTCTTTCGACAAAAACGTCCGCCACCGTAATCTGAACCTCTCCCCGGAATCCGGTGATCCTGCCGCGGATTCTAGCAAGGACACCAATCTGGGCCTCCTCAGAGAACTTCGCCGCAATAGAAGCGACCGCACGAACATCCGGGAGGCTCCGACGCGAAAAGTAGGGAGACGACAACTGGTTGAGCCACAGCACGCAGGGGATGCAGCCGGTGGAGTCGTCGATCACGAGCCTCAGAAACCTTCCCGGCTTGAACTCCCGGCTCACGACAACTCCGACGCACTCAACTCGCGAGAATCTAACTCCATTGCGATCGGAAAAGGTCTGATCTGTTGGATTCATGGTGAGATTTAACAGATCAAACCCTAGAAGCCTAACATGAGTTCCATTTTGCAATGACGGAGCGGCCATTACCGGTCCGCCACCATGAAAACGAGATTCATTCTGCAAATTTGAAAGGCGAAATCAAAAGTCCGATCGAATTCACCAGGAAAAATCGATAAGTGCCTAAAATGTGAGTCTAATCCAGGCCCCCAAATCATTAAAACCCATTGAAGAGGGATCAGAGGGAGCAGACATGACGACTCTGAGGATTCAATCTCCGTGCACATAACCATGCTGCCTTCATTATTGAATCCAGAGCATCGGCTTATTGTACACGGCTTAAGACTAATCTCGAATTCCATTAATTCACTTCAACACTTAAAACTGAAAAAAAATTAATGTAAACAAAGAAGAAAAAGCGAAGAAACAGAGGAAATGAGGAGGATTTACGGCGTCGGAGAGCACGCACCAACGACGGGAGATGATTACCAGGAAGCCCCAGGTGATACAGACTGAGATCGCAGGGATGTATATATAGAAAATGAATAGATTGTGGTTTTAGGGTTTTTGGTGGAAAGGCCTATTTGGACTGAACTAGAGATCCGGTCTATTATTCTAGCCCAGTTATTTCGTGGAGAAATAAAAGCCCAATGTTTCTGTCATGGACTTCGATAGGGGTTCCATGAGCGTAATGGACTAAAAATGGTAAATACCAATTTTTTGTTGTTATAATGGGCCTCTTAGTAATCTTGTAGTCAGATCGCCCATGGTTTTTTGATGCAAAGGCAGCGTCTCTCTTTCCCGTTTGCTTAGGGGTGTATTCAATAAGTCTATAGGTATTCAATTAAATTTTAAAAAATCATTTGAAATCTCGGTGTATTCAATAAAAATTTTAAAATATCTCCCAAAATCCTTAACACATTGAAAAGTCCATAGATTTTTAAAGATTTTATGGATTGTATGATGTTTCAGTAGAAGTAAAAATCTATATACAAATCTCCCCAAAAATGTAAAGATTTCAAAACTCACAAATAATTTTGAAGATATCACCGTCCTTCCATCTAATTCATTCAGGATTCAGTCATTCCCTCTTAAAATCTTTAATCCCCATCCATCATAATCGACCGTCCTCCCATAGCTCCCATCATCAATCTCTTCTCTTTAAAAATTTTTAGCGCAACCCTACCTGGTTCAAATCTGAAGTCGTCATATTCACCGGCACCATCTATTCTTCCATAAATGTTTGCGCAAATTGCAAATGATTTTATCTTCACGGCAACCCTACCCTTGTTCTTATGTTCTTACTATGCAGAATTTGCTAGTTTTTGTTTTCTTTTTTAATAACGTACCTATTTTTTAAGGAGAACATTTCTCTCATTTGTTTAATCTTTTTTTTTTGGTAGAAATATGTATGTACTTAAAATTCGATTGTCATTTCATTTCGTCTCAAAACAATTTGATAAAAAAATCTTGAACATAAAATACATTAAAATCTATCAAACTCTGCGTATGTAGATTTAAAACAAGTAAAATTTGCACTAAATATGATTAAAACATAATGGCTTTCCTAATATAAGACTTAGATATTTTTATTCCCTAAATAAGACTTAATAATGACCTAGTGGAAGGAATAATGTCCAGTAATGATGGACATTTAGTTGAATAATGACTACTTGATAATGACCAAAGATCCTATATTGGTAAAATAAAAGCATATAGTCATATATTGGAAAAGTCATTATGTTTTAGTAATATTTAGGTAAATTTCTCATCACCCTCCATAGATTCTAAACAACTTATCGAAATCATTCAAAATCTAAATGGAATCACCCTCCTTAGTTTGTGGCGCAACTGCCTGTCATCGGCCACTTGTTTCCTCTACCAATCGCTGCTTTTGTTTTGCCCAACGACAATCAACCGTCTAGTTGAAGTCAAAGTTGAGTTTTCGTCAATACAAGTTCAGCTGCAAACGAACTACTACGCGTGTCCGTTTCTCTTCACCAACCACTAGTCTCGCGCGTGAGTGTATTTTGTGTTGGGATTTTTAGTGTCATCATATGACAATAGAAAGAAGATAGATAATTTTATAGTTTGTATATCTTTGCCTAATGTACTTTTCACGTTAAAATGAACAAATTAATGAGTTGTACTATCGCATTGTATTTTTAAGCCCATATATGAAATGTGAACTTTTTTACATATTTTTCATATGGATATAGTTAGACTTTTTTCTTTTTTAAAAAAGCTCAATACATATAATCATTTTGCGAGTATGTATTAAGATTCACGGAGTATAGACCAAAGAATCATAAAATGAGTATAGACCAAATTAAAGAATCATAAAAGAATTTGCCCAAATTAAAATGATCAATTAAATAAAAATTACATTACATCTTACTATAATAGTATAAAATCACGGAGTTTTTTTATTAGATTTATCTTGCAGAGAAGTTACATAATTGTGTTTCATTGTATTAAAATACAAATACAAAATTTCATGCAGAAAATTACTGGGAGGTGACATAGGTTTTGTTGTAATGACTCTCAGGTCCCTCAATTTTTGTAAAGCACACCAAGGCATTTAAAATTTATTGTAATTACTCAGTGGGTTATATTCCGGCCAAATAGATCGGAAAACAGCTATAAGTTAGTAAATGACGGTATATTTAATACCTCTACCCCCTTTGAGCGGCTGGTCTAAAAAATCTGCACCAGTCTTTCTCCCTCTCTTCTCTGTTTTTTTTTTTTTTGCTCTCTGTTTTTCTGTTTTGTCTCCACGGTCAGCACACAGCAACCCAACACCTTATCTCTCCTTCTTTTGGTCAACAAAGCAAAGGAAAATATTTTTCCAAAACTGGGTCCTCCACCAAAGAAAAATGGAACCCAAATAAAAATGGGGCTGGACTCACAACATACACCACAAGACAAAGAAATTCAGCATATATGTATGACTCCATGACAATGTCCACATGAGGAACATCAAAAGAAGCAACTGCAGCAAGGAAAGTAATTCCAGTAGCTTGCCACTGGACTGACCATCAGGGGGGGCAATGGAATAACCATATTGCAGCAAATAAGAGACAAAAAAACATTCACCATATTCATACACTGAAGAATCAGTAGGCACATTGCTTGGGACAAAAAATACAAGCATTCACCAAAAAATAACCCAAATATGGGTAGATGTAGCTACACCAACATGTACAATGATGTACCAAAAAACAAAAATAGCATCATGGATACATAGTAACAGTTTATCTCCAAACAAAAAAACTAGAAACCATGCTGTTCATGACATTAAATCAGCTGCTCCACATTTCCTTTCTTTGCTTTTTTGGTCTTCCTTTCATATTTCCTCACCAATCTTCCTTCCTCATTGAAGAATGAATATTTTCTATTGATTATCATGTGTGAATACAAGGGATATTATATAGTAGAGTATTCCTAGTTATAATAGGAAACCTACCATGTTAGGAATCCTTAATTAATAAGGACTATACATGTATGGAAACTACAATATACACAAGATACTAAATATATACTTTATATATTTAACATGCTCCCAACGGCACTGGTGTGGAACGCCGAACGCCCAAGCAATCCCGGAATTCTGAAAAAATGATGGATGGAAGACCCTTCGTGAAGATATCAGCATACTGGAGAGACGAAGGGACATGTAGGACGCGGACCTGTCTGAGAGCCACTCGGTCTCTAACGAAGTGTATGTCAACCTCGATGTGCTTCGTGCGCTGATGCTTAACTGGATTTGCAGAGAGGTAGACGGCACTCACATTATCACAAAGAACAAGAGTGGATCGACTGAGTGGTTGCTGGAGCTCGAGGAGAAGATTACGTATCCAGCTGACTTCGGCTACGGCGTTGGCTACTGCTCGATATTCTGCCTCGGCACTGGATCTGGACGTGGTGAGTTGGCGCTTAAAAGACCAGGAAATGAGATTATCGCCAAGGAATATGCAATAGCCGGAGGTGGACCGGCGGGTGTCAGGGCAGCCGGCCCAATCGGCATCAGAATAGGCCCGCATCTGGTCTGTGGGAGATTTGGAGATGGAGATGCCATGTGATGGTGTGCCATGAAGATATCGTAAAACCCGCTTCATGGCCGTGACATGGGGTGTGCGTGGATCATGTAGGAAGAGACAGAGCTGCTGCACGGCATAAGTGATGTCAGGACGAGTGAAGGTGAGGTACTGTAGGGCCCCCATAATGGAGCGGTACAGAGAGGGATCTGGCGCAGGTGTTCCTCCAGAAGTTGATAGTTTCCCGCGTGTATCAACCGGAGCGGAAATCGGTTTACAGTTGAGCATGCCCGCTCGATCAAGAATATCATAGAGAAACTGAGTCTGTGTCAGGAACAAGCCACTGGAGGTGCGCTGAACATTGATCCCAAGAAAAAAATGTAGGTCCCCCATATCTGTCATGGCAAACTCACCCTTCAACCGCTGTATGACCCGCTGTAGAAGATCCTGCGAGGAAGCCGTGAGAATGATGTCATCAACATACAGAAGTAGGAAAGCCATCTGAGACCCCTGGCCATAAGTGAACAGTGAGGTGTCGCTCTTGCACCCGCGAAAGCCAAGCGTGAGAAGAAAGCCAGTAAAACGGTGATACCAAGACCGCGGTGCTTGTTTCAGTCCATAAAGCGCCTTGTTCAGTTTGCACACATAGTGGGGTCGGGCAGGATCCTGAAATCCGGATGGCTGGGCCGTGTATACCGTCTCTGTGAGAGTGCCATGAAGGAAGGCATTCTTGACATCAAGCTGGTGAATTGGCCATCCTCGTGAGACGGATAAACTGAGAATGATCCGAATAGTTGCCGGTTTAACCACCGGGCTGAATGTCTCATCATAATCTATGCCATGACGCTGATTGAATCCTCGAACAACCCATCTGGCTTTGTACCTGGACAGTTCACCTGTAGGGCTAAGTTTGTGTCTAAAAAGCCATTTACCGGAGATAATATTTTGTTTAGGGGAGGGAGGTACTAAATCCCATGTATTATTAGCAATCAAAGCATTATATTCATCTAACATAGCATTGTACCAATTGTGATCTTTAAGTGCACTACGGTAGGTGGGGGGAATGGGAGAGATGCTAGCAACGGTGTTTAGGTTTAGGACTCGTTTAGGGCAAAAGATCCC